AAAAGAAATAATTTGGTTAACCATGTACTATGTCCCTCTCCCACTCCCCCTGCTTGTGTTCCCTCTCTTGCTGTGTCTCTCTGTCAAATAAATAAATAAAAAATCTTAAAAAAAAAAAAAGCCAAAGCTATGAAATAAGTTCTTAGATCTACAGGCAGAAAAAAGTCTGTGAAATATGGCTAAATGAAATAAGCAATTTACTTCATAATACTTGTAGTATGAACTTATCTGGGTAGAAAAAGTCCTATCCTCTGTGTTTATAAGTCATATAAGGGTATTTGTAAATTCATGAGGGAAAGTCTGGAAAACTACCCATCAAACTTTTAAGACTATTTGCCTTGCAGAAGGGACTGAGATAGGAGCATGTAGACAATGGAGGAGGAACTTCATGTAATTTGACTGTCGTGCTCTCATATAGTGTTTGATTTTGACCAAACATGTATTGCTTTGTAGGCAATGTAACTAATCAAATAACAACAATAACCACCACCAAAAGGGGGGGGCACCTGGTGGGCTCAGTAGGTGGGACATGCAACTCTTGATCTCAGGGTCGTGGGTCTGAGCCCCACATTGGGTATGTGGCAATTACTTAAGAATAAAATCTTAAAAAAACAAAAACCCAAACAACAACAAAAACCTAACAGACGGGAACAACAGAAAATTCTCAAATCCATTATAGAAAAAAGGATATTGAAAATATAAACAGAGACATGACAACCAAAGTAATGCAAGATCCTTGACTGGATCCTGACAGCAAACAAACACAAAAAGAAACAAAAAGCTCTAAAGAGCGGATTTGAAATCAGACTATAAATATAATATTGTTAAATATCCTGAAAATGATAATAATACTGTGGTTATAAATGAAATAAATGCTTAAGTATTCAAAGGAGAAGTGTCATGTTATCTGCAACTTACTTTCAAATGGTTCAGCGAAAGAAAAAAGAGAAAGCAAATATGGCAAAAATGTTGATAAATTAGTGAAATAAGACTTTTAGTATGTTTATTATACTATTCTCTCAACTTTTCTTTCAGTTTGACATTTTGGAAAATAAAAAGTTGGAGGAAAAATGTAAACCAGTAACTAGAATGGGAGATCCCCACGAGGCCTGGGGTAACACGATGGTATGTCCAAGGCTCCAGCAGCACCAGAAAGTCTCCAGGCACCCACCTTTGTGGTAAAGAGGGCATCAACATCATGCCAGGCTCGAAGCTTGGCGCGGGCAGCCAGGGCCGTCAGCACATACTGTTTGTCTGGGATCTAAAAAGCAGAGACCAGGGGAATTAAGGGAGAGTAGAAATGCATCAGGGGAGAATTCTGGAAAAGATAGGCAAAAATATTCCCTGATGTTGATTCTGTCCCTTAAAATGTACAAATCTCTCAAGTCATCAAGAACCTCTTCATTCCCAAGCTCCAGCACTGCTGCAGGCCATTCCGTTGAAGTCTTCTCTCACTTCCCACACACTCATTCCTTTCTACCTTTAATCGTGACCATCAAGGGACTTCCTGTACAGGGTGACCAAGCAACATCCATTCCATGCAGTTACCCTGATACTACTTTACCAAACACTGACCAATTTATATCTACCTTAAATGTCTTCTTCAGGTTGACTGGACTGCTGAACGTCCCCTAGGATGAAAGTGGAGAAGGAATTTTTTTTTTTTTAAAGATTTTATTTATTTCTTTGACAGAGAGACACAGCGAGAGAGGGAACACAAGCAGGGGGAGTGGGAGAGGGAGAAGCAGGCTTCCCGCAGAGCAGGGAGCCCGATGCGGGTCTTGATTCCAGGACCCTGGCATCATGACCCAAGCCGAAGGCAGACGCTTAACAACTGAGCCACCCAGGCGCCCCGTGGAGAAGGAATTTTACTGTTACTGACTTTCCCAAATACCACCCAATCTAACATTTTCTTTCTACTACCTAGACATTGTACATTTCTCTCTGTAGCCATTTAAACCCAGAAGTTAATTTAAGAGAAAAACTCCACCAGACCTAACTGGGTATCATCACAACTTGGCTAAACAAGACTGGATTAATAGGTATGGTGTATTTCTCCATTTTATGCCAATCTTGTGATCATTATGATCATTCCCACCTATGACCATTAAACTCGAACCTCTTCAGAAAAACATTTTTTTTTAAGTACCCACAAATACTTCACACCCTGCTGCTCTTCTTTATACCATGTGAGTCCATCTGAAATTACAGACCTTTGAGCAGGGACTGCTGTGGGACCAGCACTGGTGAGACCGAATGTCCTATGCTAGCATGCCAGCTCACTGGAAGCCACACAAGCCCTTTCAAACCTCTTTTTCCCCCTTGGCTCACCCCTTCTGAGGGCCAGGGAAGCTTCCAGATGGACCTCCCCAAGAACTATACACACCCATTGTTAAGAGCACACTGAAATAACTGGCTTCAAACTATATTCTCTTGTGTGGTGAGAGTGTGTGGGGTCTTTCACACTTTGCCTATACCTCAGCCTCCGTGTAGTGGTAGAAGCACGAGTAGAAAAGCGTTGTCACTAATGGCATGTTGAGGATAGAAGCTTTGCGGGGGTGCTTCCGAAAGATCTCTGTCTGTCCTGCTGATTCTAGATGTCGATCATTTGCCTGTGGTGGAGTGAACCAAGTGAAAAAACAACAATATCCGCAAAGTAGAGGCAGGAGAGAAACATTAAATACTACAGCAGTTGTGCTTCCTATCCTAGGAAGGAGGCAAAGAAGAGAGAAAGAAAGAAACTGCCCAGGATAACCCCAGGGAGTTTAAAATCCATAAAATGAGGACAGATCCACGTTGAATGGAGGAAGACTAGAGAAGGAAGGATGAAATGGGAGTTCTGGGAGAGAAAACACTTCCAGGTTAACAGCAAGAAAAAGGATGCCTGAGAACAATGAGGGGGAAAGGGCTATCATGGAAAGAGGAAATGAAAGGCTCTTAGAGAATGTAACAGGAAATGACATATACAGCAGAGCACAGAGGTCTCCTAGATGCTGAATGGCACTGAGCACCAGCATTGAAGCAGAAAATGTAGAGACAAGGAGTCTAACCTCAATAATGATCTGGCGTTCCAGGAGGGTGTAATGGTCTTGAATATGTGCAGAATCTTCTGCTGAAAATGGCAAACTGGTAAAGAGCCAGAAGGTTAGTACCTCTTTCTCTACCAAAACAAGAAACAAACCCAACTAAATCAAATCACCACCGTAAGCATAAGAGGCTCACGGCACTTCACAAATCTGATCTCAGTGCACCTTTAGAGCATCCCTGAAAGGCAGAGAGACGGAAAGCAGAAAACAGAATAGACCTTTGGCTGGGATTCTGTATTTTAGGTTTTGCCAATTCAAGAGGGATGCTGAGGGGCGCCTGGCTGGCTCAGTCAGTAGTGTGTGCAACTCTTGATCTCAGGGTTGTCAATTCCAGCCCTCTGCTGGGTGCAGAGATTACTTTAAAAAACATAAAATCTTAAAAAAAAAAAGAAGAGGGATCCTGAAAGTCCACAAAATATATAGTCATCAGTGGTTTTGCTGAGGAATGAGTTAGAAACCTCTCACTGTGGGAGCTGGAACGTTTGGCGAATGAGTCACTTCGTGAATGAGCGAGCCTAGCCGACTGCCCATCATCCACATCCCAGTGAAGCCCTGTGGTTCCTGTCCTGCCTTAATGTCAATGCTTAACTCTCCTTAAGGGGTGCTTACAATTGTTAGCCATTTCCTGTTGCAGAGGAATAAGGTAAAATTAAATTACCAGGCATGGTGGTACGTGTATAGGCTGATAAAGATCTCAGACATCTACACAGATATCAAGGGTCCCATCTTCAACACTACATTTTACACATGAAAAAGTTGAGGGACAAACAGAATCTTGCCTGAAAGTCATACGTGGTAAACCAAGAGGTAAGGCCAGGAACAGAAGCCAGATTTTAAGCTTCCAGTTCACAGATGTCTCCTTTAGAAAGTGCTGCCTTAGTCCCGTACTCCACTTACTCCCGGAAGAATTCTGAAACTCAGTTACACTATCCCAGGTAAGTGTGAGCCACAGCCAATTTTTAGAAAAGATAAAGGGAGACAGCAATAGATTTCAGTTACTTCACTATTCTAACTCTTCTCTTTGTTCACCAGAGGCCACTATGACATAGCTCAGTATCTGGTAACATTAAAATTAAGGACTGCACAAAGACAAATTTCTAAATGTGAATCCTGGAACTCCTATCCCATGAGGAATGACTAAAGCAACTGTGAATACTGAACCTGGATTAAGACCTACTGTGTAGACTCTATGCCTGTCTTGAAAGATAGAAGGAAGCAAGTTTCAGCTCAATAAGTATTTAACGATAATGAAGGCTGTCCAACAATAGAATAAGCTACTTCCTTCCAACTTTAGTATATGTGCTGCCAAAGCGAGCACTACAATAAGCTACTTCCAAGAGCAGTGAGTGCTCATCACTGGAAGAGTAGTATGTGGGGCTGGTTTTTATAGGGACTTATATCCTGGATGAACACCTATACTGAATCAGTGGTTCTTGTGCTCTGGGGTCTCGGGGACCAGTTAACACTGAAAATAATATGGAAGGTAGTGCTGCCAACCTTTTCATTTTAATATAGAAAGTCATAAAAAAATTACATCCCATTTACCCCCAAAAAAGGGAGGGAGAGGAGGAAAAAATAATCCCAGAATAAAAGGCAGTCTTTCAAATTAGATAAATTTAACTGCAGAAAAAAACTCTTTACATTTTCTTTATTTTTCTCAATTTACTACCCAACAGTGAAAATTCTACTGGGGAATTAATGTCTGGAAGCACTGAATGAGACCACCTTTAATGATGCTTGTATGACCCACTGTTAGCCTTTCCCTTCAATTACCTATCCACTCCACCCTCATTTAGTCTCTTCAGTTCTCTGTGTAAGAATATTTATACTTTAAAACATTTCTCCCCAATACTTACCCAATGCAGGTCTTAAGAAATTCTTTTCGTTTCTCAGGGTCCTGAATGTTCAAGTGCTCACGATAATGAGACAGCTGCAAAAAAATAAATAAATAAAAGAAAGAAAGGCTTTGAACCATTTTGTCTACTTTGTCTCCTTTGAAGGGTGAAGTGGCTATGTAAGTAGCCTTTCCATCCGAAAAAACTAAATTCTTCATTATCAGAGATTCCTCTGAGTGGGGACAGGTGTGCAAGTAGGGAGAGGGTAGAGAGTAATTCAAAATTGCTCTTTGGGGACACCTGGCTGGCTCAGTAAGTAAAGCGTGGGACTCTTGATCTCGGGGTTGTAAGTTCAAGCCCCACACTGGGTGTAGAGATTACTTTAAAAAAGAAAATCTTCGGGCGCCTGGGTGGCTCAGTTGGTTAAGCAACTGCCTTCGGCTCAGGTCATGATCCTGGAGTCCCGGGATCGAGTCCCACATCGGGCTCCCTGCTCAGCAGGGAGTCTGCTTCTCCCTCTGACCCTCTTCCCTCTCGTGCTATCTCTCATTCTCTCTCTCTCTCAAATAAATGAATAAAATCAAAAAAAAAAAAAAAAGAAAATCTTCAAACTCACTCTTTGGTTTATCTATAACTGCAATATCCAACACTGTAACCACTACCCCCATTTGGTTTACATTTATATTTAAATTCATTAAGTTAAACAATTCAGATCCTTAGATATATTAGTCATTTTACCATGTGACTAGTGGCTACCATATCCAACAGCACAGATGGAGAATACTGCCATTATCGTAGGAAGCTCTACTGGACAGTGCTAGCCTGTAATGAAGCACTGAGTAGTTGAGTACCTAGCTTTACTCCAAAGTTTGGCTTTAGCCTCACTATTTAACTAAAACCAGCTTTTGCTTCAGCCTTAGCCTTTGAAAGGCCAAAGAACTAAATGCTTACTCCAACATTATTTTTGGCACCCTTGACCTTGTACATGATCGATGGTAGCACAATCCTATAAATAGCTAATAATTAACAACATCAGTAACATGAATAAGCCATGTCCTCTGATTCACTGCTGACACCTACTGAAGATTCACATTCAAATACTACAGGTTCTACACATAACTCTGAAAGAAAATCTCCTTATGTGCTTTCTATTTTGGAATTCTAAAAAAAGAACTGAAGTTTAAATCCCCATTTATTATTACAAGAACTAATTGATGCAATAACTAATGATGACTGTAAAAGCTGCAATTTTATGTATAATTATTAAAACTTTCCAAGAACCAGGGAGTCTGGAAGGCTCGGTTGGTTAAGCATCTGACTCTCAGTTTTGGCTCAGTTCATAATCTCAGGGTCCTGAGATCGAGCCCTACATTGGGCTCCATGTTCAGCGCAGAATCTGCTTGTCCCTCTCCATCGTGCTCGCTTCGGCAGCACATATACTAAAGTTGTCCCTCTCCCTCTGCTCCTCCTCTCTCTCATAAATAAAATCTTTAAAAAAAAAAAAACCTTCCAAGGATTAAAAAATAAACAGATTGACAGTTAATATCAATATTAAGAGAATGAACTGACTTTAGGAAGGACAGTATATCCTTTTAGAAACAAGGGTATAAAAATGTAAATGGGCGCCTAGGTGGCTCAGATGGTTGAGCGTCTGCCTTTGGCTCAGGTCATGATCCCAGGGTCCTAGGATCGAGTCCTGCATTGGGCTCCCTGCTCCTTGGGAGCCTGCTTCTCCCTCTGCTTCTCTCTCTCTCCCTCTCTCATGAATAAATAAAATCTTTAAAAAAAAATGTAAATGAGTAGAGATCATAATCTAATCTTCATAAAATATCTAGAATATAATCATTCTTAGCATCAAAGAAAGTAATCTTTAAGAGCTATAGTTAATTTTTATTGTTCAATTCCATTTTGGCCTTAAGTCTTTAAACAAAGTCCTACTTAGGTAACCTTCCCATTCTATGAGGATAAACTGAAAGCAGACTACCAACTTTGCCAATTCTGAAGTTTATAAGGTTGGAAAATTCTAAATTTATATACAATAGCATGCATGATAAATCATCTTCAATTCAAAAATAATAGAGAAAGGAAGAAAATAAGAATGTTTTAGAGGAAAATGAGTTACCCAAAACACATTTATTTTCACTAATCAAACTTCAAAAAACAACAAACTTTATAAGAATGCTGTATGAAGAAAATTCCTTACAGTTTCAAATCTATGGAGATTAAAAATGTAAACAAAAAGCGTTTCCAAATGATTGCTACAGACTGCCAGTCATTTTCAGTAGATTACGGTAAAGGATTTCTGAGATTTTCCCATGCCTTGAATATTAAGTACAAGTTCCTTTTACAAAATGGTACTGAAAAACATTTTCCTGAATTACATTCTGCTGGGCAAAGGTTAGCAAGATTATTAGACGTGCCAGCTGAATGTGAGCACTGGTCTTACCACAGACGTGCGGTACAGTGAGGCAGTGACTGAAGGAATGAAATGGCAGTGACTGCCATTGATGGTACTGAGGAATTCTAACCCCTGCACTATAAGGGCAAACTTTTAAAAAGTGGATCACTACAGTTTTAATAATATAATGAAATTTTTGGTACAATTTCACCTTTATTCTTGTATTCCAGGAGTTTATTCTGTAATGGTGAAAATCTGCCAAGAATCAGTTTTAACACTCAGTCATTGAGCTCTCAGCCAAAATGTGGGTTGGGGCCACCACCAGCTTGACCTATCTTCCTTCTTGACCTATATCTGGTTTCTTATCCCTTTTTTTTTTATTATGTTATGTTAATCACCATACATTACAGCATTAGTTTTTGATATAGTGTTCCATGATCTTATCCCTCTTAACTTACAACATTTTCTAGTATTGGAAGCCAAAACCCAAAAGCTCCTACAAACCAGGATCTGAAAACAACTAGAAACTAAAAAACAAATTACAAATTGACCAGGCCAGTTTTTATTCATTCTTCAAAAAAATATTCATAAGCCCAATCAAAAGAGCATATAAAAAGAAACAGTACATCATTGGGATTAAGTTTTCAGGCTCCCCAGATGCCTTTCTCTTTTGGATGCAATCAATACCAAAGGAAAGGAACTGTTAACTACTCTGGGATCTCGGAGACTGGGTTTTGGCTTACATTTCTGTTAAACAGGTCCCCAACTGAAACGAAGGCCACACTTACCGCAAGCTCTTCTGTTCTATCTAGGAACCTGGGAAGAAGCAGAAGGGAGCAGGGCATTTTTATCTATTGATATGTGGCAATGTAACCTCACAAAATAAGATGGCTGCTCTAGTAGAAACATAATTCAAATTCATTTGCCTCCATACATGAGTAAGCCCTCCTCTTCTTAAACTTTCTACCACCAGCAACCTCTTGAAAACACATGGTGGGTCAAATATTATTGTTCCCCTGATCGCTCTAGCTGAAAAGCAAGGACAAGAAGGCACTGCAGGACACTAATAACTTTGTAATGTTAACAGGTCTGATAGAAAGGCTCAGAGCCTCCACAAAACCTTAGTTCACAGTAATCTTACAGGGATTTTTGGAAAAACTAAAGCACTCTTCTCTGTCAGTACAATCTTGGAAACAGATTTTCTATATTGTTCTCTGTTGTTTTCACGTACAGTGTAGAAAGAGCTTTGTCTCTCTCAATGGTGTAAGGTCTTGGAGAACAAGGACTTTGTCTTCTGATTCCTTCTTATTCTGAATGGACCACTATAATTAAATCACTGCTTTGACCTAGAAGCGATGCTTAATAAATCCTTGTTAATTGGGAAGGAGGGAATTGAGGAAGGGAACATCCTGCCTAAATGAACATGTCTTCTGCAAATTCCTGGCTAACCATCTCTAATCTTGGCCCTGACCAAGTGATCTGGTTTCCCACCTTTGTCTTTGGGACAGCTCATCACTGTGCTAAAGTCACTGGGTAACTGGAGTTTCCTTGGGCCACGTATCAGCCTAAAAAGAGGTTCCAACCCCTTCCCTGGCATTGAAGAAAGGACATAACAGATATACATTTTAATCTACTGGCAGGAAAGTCTCTACTGATTAGAATGAGATAGGGAAGGAAGGAAAACATGGTAGAAGACACACCCCTGCCCCGGGCCTCCAGTAACTATGCCCACCTCTTGCCTCTCCACCTATCAGATTCCTATCTAGTCTCAATTCCTAACCTCTTCCATAAGGCTTTCTTTGGGTACCCTGGCTGAAAATTATATTTGCTTCTTCTGTTCTTCCATTTACTTCCCACTGGCATCACTGGGGACCAAGTAATAAGAGATACCTTAATTCTAGGTCTTTCATAATAAAATGCTTAAAAATATTAATAATACAGACTAGGCATTACACTAAGTGCTTTTCCCACACTAATTCTTAATCTTCATCACCTGTGGGGTAGGAATCATCATTTCCGTTGTATCGTTGTGGAACTGATGCTAGGAGAGGTTAGGGAACTTGCTCAAGGTCACTTCATGAACTAAGTGGTGGTGCCGGTATTCAATGCAGGTTATGCTAGACTCCAGGGCCTGGTTCTTAACCACCTGCTACACTACCATTTTATCACTGGCTGAGGTGCATTATTAGTTATCCCATCATGTTTCAGTATCTCACCTAACAACAAAAAAGGACAGTGTCTTCTATCTTTGTATCCTCCAGAGAGTTTTGAATAAAGTACTTTGTAAACTTTATAGACAAGATGATCAGTTCTGGGCGCATGGGTGGCTCAGTTGGTTAAGCGACTGCCTTCGGCTCAGGTCATGATCCCGGAGTCCTGGGATCGAGTCCCACATCAGGCTCCCGGCTCAATGCGGAGCCTGCTTCTCCCTCTGACCCTCTCCCCTCTCATGCTGTTTCTCTCTCTCAAATAAAATCTTTAAAAAAAAAAAAAAAGATGATCAGTTCTTACCTGAAGAGGTCCAAAAGCAGCTTTTGATCCCCTATTTCTTTAAGGAAGTGAATGAGATGTCTCAGGGCAACCTGTCGCACCTCCAGCTCTCGGAAGAGGGTCTCTGGTAGGCAGGAAGGAGTTAGGTGGAGAAAGATTAAAGCCTATAACTCAAGTGTGAAATTGGTCTCCCTCCTCATACATTCCAAACATCTCCTCAAAGTCAATCACAAGCGAGGAATAGCTTTTTGTGGCACCAATTCCTCTGGATCAACCCACCACCAACACACTCCATGGTCCAGGGCAACTCTTGGTCATTCAATCAGCCTTCAGTTCTCACCAACCCAACCAGCAGGCACCTAGCATAGACTCTGAGGTCCTCAAACCAACAGAGCCATCTGTCTGTCTAGTAAACAGGGAGGCTTTGGAGTTAATGTAGTTATCACCCTACAGGATGAACAACCGCCCTCAGAGATGAGAAGAATACTCTGAAGTCTTAGGCCACCCCAGCTGTCTTTGAAGCAGAGCTGATGATGAATTCTGGTAATGGAAGCCACAGTGCCATTCTCCCTTCAAATGTAGCAGGCATCTTGTCAACTGAAGATTTCTCTCAGTTCACGCTCACCTTTGCTCAGTGTCCTTTTCAGGAAGATCAGAACCTAGAGGAAAAGAGAACAAAGAATAAGTTATCCTGTGTAACCTACAAACACAAAGCCCTGCCCTGAGCTCCTGATGTGCAGGAACGAGGTCAGCGACTCATTAGGAATCTTGGCACATTCAGACAACAGATTTTTCTTTAGGATAGAAGCACAGGTGATAGACATGTGGAATTGAGCTGTGTCTCAGAGGAGTTCACCCGCCAATTCCCATACTGGCAAGAGACACCTCCCTCAGGGAGAGACTGCTCTCATGCCTCTCCTGCCTCAGATTGCTTTTTTATTGTTTTTATTTTTTTAAAGATTTATTTATTTGAGAGAGAGCACCTGCGCACATGCACTTACATGCGTGCACACAGCAGGGAGAGAAGCAGAGAGAGAATCTCAAGCAGACTCCCTGCTGAGCGCAGAGCCCCATGCAGGGCTCGATCTCATGACCCTGAGATTATGACCTGAACTGAAATCAAGAGTGGGTCACTCAACCGACTAAGCTACCCATGCGCCCCTCAGATTACTTTTTAGAACAGAGTAGCCAACCTGCTGTTTCTTGATTATAATCAAGAGTTCCACATCCGATGCATTTCCTGCCAGCCGAGCCTCAGAGCAGGTATTACTGAGGATCCTACACTTTAAGAGGAATCCAGGATCTCTACTAGACATTTAACCTAAAATGTTAAAGTCCTATTCTGATCGGGCTTCGAGAAACTAACAAGAACAATTAAGCAAACGACAAAGCCCACCACTTACTGCCGTAATGACGTTTCCGTCGTGCACGCTGACTGCTTCCTCCAGGAGTCGTAGCTTGTCCTGTAAGGAACGGAATCGTTCTAGAGAGCAGACCTGGCAGAACAAGAGCAGAGTTAGTGTGCAAGGAAGTCCGCATGTCCTGATGGAGTCCTGCTGCAGCCAAAGGCTGGAGATCACTCATTCTCTTTAAAATGACGTATAACTGACATACAATAAAATCTAAAGCGTAGAGTTCAGCGAGTTTGACAAGTACGTATAAAATTCCATCTAACTGTTACCACCATCAAGATACAGAACAACTCCATCAGGTCAAAAAGTTCCCTTGTGGGCTCTGATGTCAACGCCCTCCTTCCATCCCTAACTCCTGGCAGCCACTCATCTTTCAGTCACTGAAGTTTTCTCTTTTCCTGAATTTCACAAATAGAATCATACAATATATACTCTTACATCTGACTTTTTTCACTCAATATCACATTTCTCAGAGGAATCTATATGTTGTGCTGAGTACTACTAGTTTGTTCCTATTCACTGGTAAGTAGTTTTCATTGTATGGACAGATCACCATTTATCCATTTATCTACTGAAGGATATTTGGGTTATTTCCATTTTGGGGGCTATTATGAATAGAGCTGTTGTGAAAATCTGTGTTGTCTTTTTTTTTTTTTTAAGATTTTATTTGAGAGAGAGAAAGCGCGCACATGAGAAAGTGGGCACACGGCGGGGGCGGGGGGGTGCAGAGTGGGAGGGACAAGGAGGCTCTGCACAGAGCACGAGCCCAACACAGGGCTCAATCCCAGGACACTGAGATCATGATCTGAGCTGAAACCAAAAGTCAGACGCTCAACCTGCTGAGCCACACAGGTACCCCCGTGTATAAGACTTTGAGCGTATGTTTTCAATTATCTTGGATTGTAAATGTCTAGCAATAAAATTAAGTATACGTTTAACTTTGTAAGAAGCTGCCAGACCGTTTTCCAGAGTAGTTTTAACATTTCACTTTCTTGCTCTTGCTGTATGAGAGAGCTCTAGCTCCTTCACAGCCTCCCAGTGCTTGATATTATTAGTATTTTTAAATTTAGCCACTCTAGTGGCTGTACAGTAGTATCTCACAGTTTTAATTCACATTTTCTTGATAACTGTTGATGTGGAAGATCTTCTCAAGCGCTCTTTGGCCATTCATGTAACTTTTTTCTGATATAACTGAAATCTTCCACCAAGTTTCTTATTGGGTTGTTTATCTTCTTATGAAAGATAATCATTGTCCTTTATATAGTCTGGATAAAAGTCCTTTACAGTATATGAATTTTGCAAATATTTTCTCCCAGCCATGGTGGTTTTTCCCCCACAAGAACTCTCTCTCCAGTGACCTTACCTTGCCCTTCCGGAGGCGCCACACTGTGTCACTGGGGCTCCAGTCATTGCTGTAATCCTGGAATGTTAACAGTACATGAATCTCAGGAAGTTAAGGGATCAGAATTATCGGTGTGCCAGCTCCTCACCTGAAACTCATCTTTATTCCCCGATAGGGAAATATTTTGTGGGAGGAGGAAATGAATGGAAAAAAAAAAATGAAGAACAGGGATAGTCTTGTTCTGAGTTTCTGAAGGAATTAGAACAGGGACAATGAAGGCAAGAAGAGATGGATCAAAGAGGGAAAGAACCGATTGACAAAACCCTATGGTTACTGGTTCAGGATTTAATTCACTAGATATAATCAGTCACGTTTTGGGATTCTAATGAATGGCTTTGCAGACAGAAGGAAAGAGGGAGACATGTTCCTCTTCTGGACCTTATAATAGTCTCCTCCTTATGAATCAATTTGCTTTGTTATGTGCTATCTTGGGAATATGAGCTCCACCAAGCTTCCAGACCACAGCGATGATCAAAAGTTTCAAAGTACAACCTCCGAAAGGCAGTATAATGGGTAAGGAAAGTGTACTAAGACAGAATCAGAAAACAGATTGTGAGTCCCAGTTCCACCACTTAATAGCTATGAGACCCAAGGCAAGCCCTGATGTTTAGATACCCAGTTTTCTTATCTACAAAAAAGTTAAAATAATAGCTGTTCAAAAAGTTGGGAATATCAAGCAAGATAATGTACATCAAAGCGCTTGGAACTGTGTAAAGTGTCACACCAGTGTAAGATATAACTCACCCTGTATTCCCCCTTGGGTCTGCCCAGCTCTGGAGCATAGCTTTTGGCAGGTACGTCCGACAGAGCTGAAAAAGAACAGGCAGCTAATTCAGAAGGACACCATCTTCAGGTCAATCCTTTCCTCTACTGCTTCTTTCTCACACACATTTTTCTGACTTCTGAGGTCCCAAGGCATCTGAGACATCTTTATGGCCCAAAGTAGATCTTAGCTCCTCCCCAAAGACAGCATCCCTAGAAGTCACCCCTTGCTCCCATAGCCAAAATGATCTTGACCTCCTTATTCAGTAACAGAAAATTTCTCTAATAATGGTGGTAGATTCAGGAGAAATTTCATCGAATTACCACCTAGCCCCATGACTCGCCAGACTGTATTCCATATCAGTAACATCTCCCACAGCAATCAAGAGCAGAGGGTCAATGCTTACCATCAGAAAGGGACTGGAAACTTCCAGGTCTAGTTCTCCCTGAAGGTAAAGAATATATAAGGGGAGAGATCAATAGTTCAAGTCGGAGCCATTTCAGACTTGGTTAAGGATGCAGTATGTATAGAACATTTTTATGAAACATGGGAACTCAGGCTTAAAAAAACCTCCATTCAACTTCAGAAATTTGAGGTGCCATGAAAAACAAAGGGTGGAAAATTTTTTAAATTGTGGTAAAATATACGTGACGTAAACTTTAGCATTTTTCACCATTCTTAAATGTACAGTTCGGTGGCACTGAGTATATTCACACTGTATAACTATCACCACTATCCATATCTAGAACTTTCTCATCATCCCAAACTGAGACTCTCTACCCATTAAACAATAGCTCACCATGCCTCCTTAAACCTCCAGGCCCTGGTAACCACTATTTTACTGTCTTTCTGAACCTGACTATACTAGGTATCTTACAGAAATGGAATCATACAGTATCTGTCCTTGTATGTCTGGCTGACTTTTTTTTTAAGGAACTGCCATACTGTGCTCCACAGTGGCTGTACCATTTTACATCCCCACTGGCAGTGCACAAGGGTTCCCAACAGCAATGCACAGGGGTAGGCAGGAATGCTGACCTTAGCAAATTTCTTCAGTACTTGCCACAGAACTAATGTCAGTTTTGTTCACCACGTTCCTGAAACCCAGTCCCATCCCTCGGATTTTCTCTCATTTCTCCCACTTCTAATCCCTAACTGCCAGCTCCAAAGATAATTCTTTAGCCTTCAGTAATTTTTTTCTTCCAGAGTAAATGAAAATTATAGCCTGAGTGGTTTTTTGAAAAGAGAAAAGGAAGGCCCTCTGTCCCTTTAACCATCACTCTTTACCTCTAAAAAAGCTGCTCAGGGAGTAGGTAGAAGTAGGTTTGGGTAGTTGTGCGTAGGTGGAGAAGCTGTTCCGACTCTTTAGCTGTTCACGCCCCTCCTGGCTTGACCCACTATTACCAGCAGTCTCTTTGATGGACCATGAGATACCTGTGAAATAGTAAGAACTAAATCAGCGATTCTCATCCAAGATAATCCTTGAAATCCAGCACTCTGATAAACACTAAAAGTTTTTCACCAGAGGCCCTGGTCCCTTATTAACATGGACTTAAAAAATTGGGGCAGGCAGAAAGGATAAAATCAGATAGACTAATCAACAGAAAGAGGAGCAAAGGAAATTAATAAATGGATCACAGAAAAGGAAATTCAAGTGGCTATTAAACATATGAAAAGATGCTCAACCTCACACTTAATAAGAGAATTATACAAAGTACACTGAGATACCACTGGCCCCTCCAAGACTGGCAAAGATCCAAAGTCTGATAATACTCTGTTGGCAAGGCTGTGGGGAAAGAGGAACACTCGAACATTGCTGGTGGGAGTACACTGGTGCAACCCCTGTGGAGAACAATCTGGCAACGTGTACCCCATACAGATGCAAATACCCTCTGCCAGTGATTCCACTCTAAAAATTGATCTTTCATGTATTCATATTGGGCAGGAAATAAGGTTATTGATAGCAGTATAAACAAGGAAAGATTGAAAATCATCTGAAGTTCATCAAAAGTGGACTGGTTAGGGGCGCCTGCGTGGCTCAGTTGGTTAAGCGTCTGCCTTCGGCTCAGGTCATGATCCCAGGGTCCTGGGATTGAGCCCCACATCCGGCTCCCTGCTCAGGGGGGGAGCCTGCTTCTCCCTCTGCCTCTGCTGTTGCCCCTGCTTGTGCTCTCTCTGCCAAAGGAATAAATAAAATTAAAAAAAAAAAGTGGACAGGTTAAATAAGTTATGGAAAATCCATACGATGTAACCCTATGTTGCTGTTTTCAGAGAGAGAGAGTGAGAAACTTCTTTATGTACCGATATAGAAAGATCTCCAAGCTATATTGCCAAGTGAAAAGAATAGGGTAGAAAGTATGCTACCATTGGTGTAAAAAAGGGAATAAGAAAATATATTCCTATATGCATTTCCAAATGTAGAAAGAATCTTTAGTTGAACACACAAGAAGCAAACAACAGCAGTGTTTTGAGATAGAAGAAACTGAGAATAGTAGATGCATGATAGTGTGGGAGGGAAACTTTACACTGTATGCCTAAAATACTTGATTTTCAAATCCTGATGGTATTTCCTATATTAAGAAAATTTTTAAAAATATTCTTAAACATCAGATGGACTGGGCAAAAGTGTTAAGCTAGACAGTGAGGCCTGGTGGCTAAGGAAGTCAGTCCTGCCAGCCAGTTATGAGCAATTAAGCTAGCAGTTCCAAATATGACTGAATATTAGAAGCACCTGCAGTACCTATTATAAATTAAGACTCCCCACCCCCACCCCCACCCCCGAGACCTACTGAATCAGTTTCTGGAGTAAAGCCTAGGAACCTAACTTTAACAAGCACCCCAAATGAGTCTGAAATAGCCAGCCAAGCATTAGCCCCAGGATGGCAGACCTAGAGAGCCATATGGGAACCAGTGCTGTTATTTCCTCAAGTTTCTTCTGGGGTTAAATTTCCAAATATATGCTCATCTAAAAATAGTCTACCCTCATTCCCCTTCCTAACAAGCACTGAGGAGACAAGCAAGCGGAGCCTTCATTAGTGACAAGAACCTGAATATCAATCCCTTCCTACAGCCTCCTCTACTTACTTCCCACAGGTTCCCCACTCCAGCTGACTCTCTCCAGGTCATCGTCATCCTCATCATCCACGAAGTCGCGAAGACTATTCACTGCTCTCTTGGATTCCTTTAACTGCAGAGGGACATAAGGCAGGGCACTCAGGCAATCACTACTTCCACCTCTCTCTCTGACAACCAAGAAGGCTGAGCAATTGGGACTTAAGATGGCCAAAACTTTCACCCTCTGCAATCGAAAGCCTAGCCTGCTAGATATTTGCCAAGAAAACAAATTGCTTTTCAGCCAACATTGAAGTCCAGTGGCAAGAGTTAGAAGGAATTAAAGCTGCTTTTAAGTTCTAATCATATACCTGGCAATGACTTGCTGTGTAAACCTGGGTGAGTTTATCCATCTCTCCAAAAATAAATCCATTTCCCCATTTGTAAAATAGATGCAAAAAGACAACATCCAATCCAGTTCATCATTCAAAAATAACAAATTACATCACACGATAAAAGACTTGGGATTCTGAGGGAAAAAAAGAAACTGAAATCACCCTAAGAATAAAAGTAAGAAGGGCAGAGAGTTGGTTTTTCAATCCTTCTGGTTCTTTTTTGAGGGATCTTCTCTATGAACATTTTTCTAAAGATCTACCCCAAAACATTTCTGAGCCTAATGGAGACAGAGTCAAAAGCCAGGTTACCAAGGATGTGAGGGGAAGAAATTTTAGAATGACACTGTGGAGGAGGTGTGACCTGCAGCAATTGTTCATGAACACCTACCTGTGAGAGCTCATCATCTTCATCATCAAAGGTGAAAGCCTTGAACTTGGAGCTGTTCCAATATTCCTCCTCATCACCCTTTGTCCGATTCATCTGGAGTAAGAGTAAGACAGATGTATGTCCCTCCCTGGATTGCTTCCAAAAGAGTGCCAAAAGCTTTAGATTCCTTCACTGCAAACTCTTCCTCCCACCCCACCCTGCAGTTATTGGAGATGTTTAAAAGAATTTGAGAAAGGAAATACTGAATCTGTCACGTAAAATCAGATCGTTAGGTCTCCAACTGATCAAACCATACTTCTGATCCTTTAATTACCCACAAGTAGTCATTCATTCCTAGAACACCTACTTTGTTCAAGGCACTCTCTCAGGTGTTGAGGGGATATTTACAAAGTGCAAGACACAGTCCCTCTTCTGAAGAACCCTACAACAGAACTGGGTATTCAGCATTGATACATATAAAGGTAACAGTACAAGAGTTATAAAAATGCATCACAAATTTTGCTGAATACACAAGATCAAAGTATCAACAAAACAGATAATAACTGCATTCATGTATTATTCAACATATATCTATTATTGAGTACCATCTTTGAGGCACTGTTCTAGGCTCTGTGAATACTACAGTGAATAAAACTGGCAAATATCTTGCTCTCATATATGCTTGCTAAATGCCAGAAGAAAGAAAGCAAAGATTAAATGAAGCAGAATTGGGCGCCTGGGTGGCTCAGTCGTTAAGCGTCTGCCTTCGGCTCAGGTCATGGTCTCAGGGTCCTGGGATCGAGTCCCACATCGGGCTCCCTGCTCCGCGGGAGGCCTGCTTCTCCCTCTCCCACTCCCCCTGCTTGTGTTCCTGCTCTCGCTGTCTCTGTCTCTGTCAAATAAATAAATAAAATCTTTAAAAAAAAATAAAATAAAATAAAAATAAATAAATAAATGAAGCAGAATTATCCTGCCTGTATCTTCAAATTATGAGTAATTTACCAAAAATTATGGGCAAAATTTAGGAACTGAGGGTGTGGCTAAGAAAAGTATAATAAGAATCAGTCAAAACACTACAAGTCACTCTCATAATTCTAAAATTAGTTTTCAGGACAACCCTCTCAGGTCCCCTCCCTCTTTGGGAGCTTTGTACTATCACTCAATAAACTTTACTATAAAAAAAATTAGATTTCACTCTGAAAAAAATGTTTTGCCCTAGGATTACAAACTTAATTATCAATGCCAACTGGATAGAGTGAAAACTGATTTAAACTAAGAACTAGTTACCAAAAGACCCAAAGCAACAAAAATAACTACAAAGGCTACACATCAAATTCTAAAAAATCAATTTGCTTTTCCTTTTATTTCAATAGTACCTTCACAACAGAAGCTTGAGATAGACTCATCACGGCAGCCCTGTTGAAGCTTCTTTTTTAATTGTGTTTTTTTCCCTTAGGATTGAATTTAAGAATTCTTTTTTTAAAAAAAATATTTTATTTATTTATTTTAAAAGAGAGAGAGTGCATGTGCGCAAAATAGCATGAGTAGGGGGGAAGGGCAGAGGAAATCTCAAGCAGACTCTGCACTAAGTGTGGAGTCTGATGTGGGACTTGATCTCATGATCCTGAAATCATGACCTAAACCAAAATTATGAGTCAGTCGCTTAATCAACTGAGCCACCCAGGTGCCCGTTGAAGCTTCTGAAGGCCCTTAACATACTCTACAGATATTCCTCGACTTACAATGGGGTTAACATCTGGATAAAGCCAACGTAAGTCGAAAATATTGTAAGTTGAAAATGCTAAATGGCACAGCTTAGCCTCGCCTACCTTAAATGTGCTCAGAACACTTACATTAGCTTCAGTTGGACAAAATCATCTAACACAACGCCTATTTTATAAAAAGTGTTGGATAGGTCATGTAATTTATTGACTGCTGTACTGAAAGTGAAAAACAGAATGATTGTGTGGGCGCAGAATAGTTTAAATATATCAGTTGTTCACCCTTGTGATCATGTGGCTGACTGGGAGCTGGGGCTCACTACCACTGCCCAGCATCAAAAGACTATCATGCGGTATATCGCCAGCCCAGGAAAAGATCCAAATTCAAAATTGAAATTACAGTTTCTACTGAATGTATATCACTTTTGGGATACCTGGGTGGCTTAGTCAGTTAAGGGTCCGACTCTTGATCTCAGCTCAGGTCTCAATCTCAGGGTCATGAGTTCAGGCCCCGTGCTGGGCTCCACACTGGGTGTGTAGCCCACTTAAAAAAAAAAAAATATATATATATATATATGAATGTGTATCACTTTTACACTATCATAAAGTTGAAAAATTTTAAGTTGAACCATTGTAAGCCAGGGAATCACCTGTACTTGCACTTCCTGATTCTTGTGTTTTCAGGGGATACAGGAATTGCAAAGGTATGGTGGGAATTTTCTACTATCTGATCCCTTCCCATGGCAGACATCACTAATTGATTTCTACTGAACCCAGATGTAACTTAAAAATCCTTCTGTGTATTTAAAGCCAAATAAAGCTGGCAGATACAATGAAATCATCCCTCATGGTGGTACAAGCGCAAGCTTTATAGTAGGCAGCTTTGAATTCAAATCTTGGTTTCTCAATTCTGAGCAAACTGGTTAAATAATTTTACGTCTAGGCCTTGGTGAAAATGATACCCTACTTCACAGGATTGCAGTGAAGAAGAAATAGGACTCAGGAAACACCTAGCAGAAAGTACATACTAAAGGTCAATTCTTGGGGCGCCTGGGTGGCTCAGTCGTTAAGTGTCTGCCTTCAGCTCAAGTCATGATCTCAGGGTCCTGGGATCGAGCCCCACATCAGGCTCCCTGCTCAGCAGGAAGCCTCCTTCTCCCTCTCCCACTCCCCCTGCTTGTGTTCCCTCTCGCTATGTCTCTCTCTGTCAAATAAATAAAATCTTAAAATAAATAAATAAATAAAATAAAGGTCAATTCTTTTTAGTACAGGATATTTTACTGACACCTTTCCATCTTGGTTTCCTTATCTGTAAAATTGGCATAACAATAGACACCTAACTTACAAAATTGCTGTGAGGCTTAAACTAGTTAATACTTGTAGAGCACTTAGTGCCTGACACAAAATTAATGCTCAGTATTACTTTTTATTAACAAAGCATCATGGTAACTTGGAAAAAGCTAGAAAGAAAATATTTTTTAAGCAATCCTGAAGATTTAAAACAACTAATTTGACACAAAAATGCTGAGAATTGCTCTCACAAACACTGAAGACTTGCGTAGAGCACGTAAATGTCCCTGGCACAGATACCAACTTACAGAGCACTCTGTCATCCTCACAACAGCTCTGTAAGGTAGGCCTGGTAGATTTCATCTCTATTTCACTGATGAGGAAAATGAGGCACAAAAGGATTAGGTACCGAAACCACTTTGCTAATTGCTCCTATAATCCAGGTTTTCAGGCTCCTGGATCCTTTCCACTCTGACATGCAGGGTCCTTCTCTGTTTCACTCTAGGGAAAACCAAGGCAGGTTCTTACTTCCCTGCAGTAAATAAGTATCTGTAAATATCTACAAACAAGCATAGCATATGTCCAAGAAGCCCAGTAATCCACCAGTGGGTTTCTGGAATCTTTTTTTAACCATGCAACCGCAGTGGATACTTGACACCAATTTGTACTTCTAAAGCCAAATCAGAGCCTAGATTTACTTGCCAAGGAAAGAGATAAAGTTAATTTAACGTCTCTAGAAGTTACACCAACCAGGTACGATTTTAAGAGTGACTGAAAAAGGTGCTTCAACATGATTTCAAATACAGCAGAGGCTTGTCCCTATCGTCACCTGTTCACTGAGAGCCCACAAGACAGGGCAACAAATCCAAGGAACATTAACAAAGGAAAGGAAAACAGGCATCAGCAAAAAAAAAAATCCACAACCAACACTCCCCCTGCTTCAGGACGCTTCACAAACCAGCTACCGAGAAGTTAGATTCAGATTCAATTATCATCTTCGGAGCCAGGCTTATTACAGGTGAAGCTATGAACTAAGTCCAGGGAATGTGGGTTAACCGAAGAAGACTCTAGGGGCGAACGTCCAGGAAGCCATGGATCTACTGCAGTCGCCAGAGCCCGGCGGCAGAGTAAATGCTCCTTCAAAATCAAATGTCGAGGTTCACTTACAGCCCCAACCCCGAGCGTACTCGGGCCCCCGGCGTACTCGGTCGCTCCGACTGCCAAGAGTCGGGCCTGGGGGGTCTAGGGACGCCTCAGAGAATAGGGGGAAAGGATGTTTGCGGAGAGGCTGGAATCAGCCACACACGCGTCCCACACGGCTTGGGACACCCTCACCTCTTCCACACCGAGCCCACCCTTTCAGGACAGCGTCAGACTCTTCCGCCGCTGGACCACCCTTTCTAGTCAGGCTAAGAGGCGTAGAAAATGGGCGGAAGCTTATTCGAGGAGTGGGGCGGAAGGAGGGAATGTGAGTGAAGGAAGGAGCCGCAGGGCATGCTGGAAATTGTAGCCTTTTCGCCTCCGCGGTCAAGCGTGTTCTGGACGGGACACAGAACTCCTTGACTACAGCTCCCAGAACTCCCAGCACACCGCGCCTACGTCGTTTCCTTTACTTTTAGCGCGACCTTCCGAGGTTATCCCGCAGGTTACTCAACAAGACTACAATTCCCATGAGGCTCGGCAGGGCCAATTCGGAGGCTAGGGAAACAATGAGACGTACTGTTTGTGGCCTTACGGGTGATGAATGGTTGTATGAGCGGTTGCATTTCGGGCCCCTTTAGGGATAACCCGAAGGAGCCTGAAGGAACTCTAGAAGAGGCATAAGCTAAGGTCCGACGAGGTGGAACGGAAGTACCTGGTGAGAGTGAGGAGGAGCCGGAAGTTAAGGCGGGGAGGGGCGGGGGGTGGAGGGAAAAGCAAGCCCGGAGGGTTTGCAGCCGCTTCTAGTAGTTTCCAGGCGCTGCCGGGCAGCTGGGACCAGGCGGTCCTGAGGCAGTGGCTGTGGCTGCTCGGAAGCTGGTGGCGGTGCGACAGGAGAGCCGATGGCCAAGTGGGGTGAGGGCGACCCACGCTGGATCGTGGAGGAGCGGGCGGACGCCACCAACGTCAACAACTGGCACTGGTGAGGGCCAGCGGGCCAGGCCGCGGGAGCCCTCCGGCCCGGCCGGGGTTGCGGGTCCCTGGAACCTTGGTCGGAACAAAGCTAGGGCCCGGGGCAGCCCTGCCCGGAGAAGGGGGTGGGTTCTCACTCTGGCAGGGGTCCGTAGTCCCAGGTCCCTCCACGCACCACCACCTGCCTCTGTTTCAGTGTTTGGAGGGCAAGGGGGCGACGGGGAGGGCTGCACCCAGAGGAGGGGTTCCAGAGATACGAGAACATAATCTCCTAGCCGATGCATCCAGCCTGAGCGGGGACATGCTTCCCACACGTGGCCGGAGGAGTCAGTGAGACCCACACCGCCGTGGATTGTGTTGGGAGACTGCTGAGTTAGGCTCGGGGCTGCGGGGCTGGAATTGCTATTTTGCGGCTTACGGGTGAGATTCAGAGTCAGTCGTAAGGGACCGCTGCCTAAGTCTAGAGGGCAAAGGTTTGGAACGTGTTCTGCAGGTGCTGAGAGCTCCGTGATGCTGAAGATGCTATGGACTCTCACCCGGAACTATTCATTTGGTTGTGTAGTAACTCCCGGGACTGCCCCTGGTTGCCGGGCAATCATAGTTTTATAACGTAACCATTTTTAAAAAGCCTCCTCTCCTTTATGAAATTAAAAGTACTATTTCCTTATCTTTTCACCCCACGGAACTCGGTTCACACTGTCTTTACGGTATTTTTACTTTGTTGCAGTTCTTTTCCTGCCGGTTTTTCTACTATTTAGTACATTGGGAGGCAGAGAGTCATTTTTCTTCTCTATAGCTCGGCCTGCCTCTCCTTTTAACATACACAGAGTGATCTAATTTTTGTTTTGAAGCCCTGACTTACATTGTTTTCATGGCCATCTAGAGGACACAGAATGTGTAGGGGATTTCTAGCACCGCCTGAATTTGACAGGTCAGAACACTGTGCTAATGAGGTCAAGATTATCAGTGTATTACTTTCTGGACTTGTTAGCTAAATACTGCATTCTACGGCCCACTCTTGTACTCCTGACCTCAGCAAGATGGTCACAGTTTTCCATTTGGTCAAACGGGGGCGCTGTATTTAAGTGTCCCATACTGACCCTAGCACCATCATGCTGAGAAAGGAAAGCATAATTTTCCATTTGACTTGTAACCATTCCACGCAGCCATTGTCTTTATTGACAGTATGGGATTCCTTGTCTTCCTAAAAGGGGATAACGCATTTGTGGATGTACTGGAGTGGGACTGATCTTTTCAAACTATTTGTCAGGCCTCTTTTAGCCTTGGATTCCCTTGCACAGAGCAAGCAGTGTATCTTTCGTTTGGCTGCTGGTCCATAGCATTATTTCTGTTTTGCAGGACAGAGAGGGATGCTTCAAATTGGTCCACGGATAAGCTGAAAACACTGTTCCTTGCAGTGCGAGTGCAGAATGAGGAAGGCAAATGTGAGGTGACAGAAGTGAATAAGCTTGATGGAGAGGCATCCATTAACAACCGCAAAGGCAAACTTATCTTCTTTTATGAGTGGAGCATCAAACTAAACTGGACAGGTAAATCTATGCCAGGCTGTTAGGATAAACGTTAACCGCATTTTGATTGACCTGTTAAGGAGCCGTGGAGAACAGTTTGGGCAAAGTTAGGAATTCTTCCAGGGAGACAGTGCTGCTTTGGAGTTCCATAGCAATCAGTATTGGGTGCCAAAATTTCTCTGCTGTTTTGGGACACTAAATGCATCTCCTCTCTGTGGCGGAGGGGGGGGGTCTCACAAGTCCCCACCAGTGAAGCAGTTGGGCCACTGAATCTTTGGGCCACATAATATGTTAGGACATTTTATATGAGGTAATGTTTCTCAGACTAGCTAACTATTATCTCTTGGGTGATTGATTTAAAGGTGGGAAGGGGGTTTTTTTGTCGTGATCTTTTTTTACTTTCTCCAGTGTGAATCTACCAGTTTTGACGACTATGCTAATGAAGTTTGTATGTGACTATAATTTGGGGCAGTTTTATTCTCTAGTTTATGTCCCTTCTGTGATGGTATTGGCAAAGAATTAAGAGCCATGTATGTGCCCCACCTAGATGGTCCTAATAGTTGGGAGGCTGAATTTTAAAAGGCACTAAAGCTAAAGGAGTACACGTAGGGGGCAAAGCATAAAATAGATTTATGCTTCAATGAGCATTTCTCAAGTAAATGGTAATAAAGAAGGGACAAGTAAATCTACCTGTTCAAGACTTAAAAAAAAAAAAACAAACTAAAGTATAGTAGTCTGAAAGGACCCTTAGGTGTCCTCTTGCCCAGTCCTCTTTTTATAGATTGAGAAGCTGAGGTCAAGAGAAGTGAAGATAAATGTCTTGTTGGTTAATTTTGAAATATAGTCAGTTCTGCTATGACGTCACCCATGTGTTCTAAAAATCACCATACTGTGCGAAATTGCTCAACCAAAACCACAGGGCTTATAGGGAAGACAGGGTTAGGGACAGGACACAACACTCAAAACCTTCATTGGTGACACGTTTTTTAAATGTAGAAATGTAAAAATTGATAGTACAGTTCTACACATGTGAGATGGGAAGAAATACATTAAAAATACAGTAAACGTGCCGTTTTACCTTGAAAAAGACCCAACGTTCACTTGTGAAAGTGGGCATCAGAAGGGTTGCAGGATGCAGGTTATTGTGAATTGGCGGAAGGAGGGTCAACTGAAATCAGAGGGAACATTATAACACCAGTGTGGGTAGCATGGCTTGTAACACATGGGCAACTGAGGTTGCTAGTAGATAAATGTTTGGGAAGTGTGTGTCTTGTATATTCCTGTGCAGCTCCTTTCAGCTGGGTGCAGTTTTATATGTGTTCACCTAGGGTTTCTCATGGAAGAAATCCCGTATTAGCAAGCGTGAAATTCATGCTGTGATCAGATTGTCCCCTAATATGTCAGTCGCACTGGAACAAACTTCATTTTCAGAACAAGCATCTTAGCAGAACTGACTGCCTTGATTATCGACCCGAATTCTCCCTGGCAAAATTCACGCTAGTGCCACATCCACGTAGCTCTTAGTCCCCTACAGTAATAACACAGTTGGTCTCAGCAAAGTTAATGAGGAAAGACATTTCTTCTGGGGAAGGGGGGGAGGGTTGATTGCATCTGGCATTCTCTCAGAATAAAGAGGGTCAGTTCAGTAGTTCAAAAGAAGCATAAGCAGAGGAGTAGGTAGTACTCCAGAGCAGACTTTGCCTGCAGGAGAGACTAATGACATTGTGTTGTTTTTGACAGGTACCTCTAAGTCTGGAGTGCAGTACAAGGGACATGTGGAGATCCCCAATTTATCTGATGAAAACAGTGTGGATGAAGTAGAGGTTTGTGCTTCCTAATTCCTCATCTGAGTCTTCCACATCCTCTATTCTCAGATGAGAAAAATGACCTATCATTCAAGATGAAAGCCCAGGCTGGGTCCCAGCCTTCAGAACCTCAGTCTGCAGATGATTTTCTAGGTCTGTGGTGCCACTGGGAGCTTCCAGCACAGCTGGTGCTTATTTAATTACTCTGTTTTAGCTAGTAACTTGGGTTCTAACATTAGCCACTGTGGCTTTGGCAGAGAGAACTTTAGAAGGAACACTCATAGGGATTGGAAAAATACCCCAACCCTCACACATTTCCTTTGGAAATGTCAGCGGTTATCTGATTGCACAGCACCCACATTCCACATTGTGGGTGCCCCTCAAGTTATTTACCACCTACTTCTGATCTTTCACTCAGATTAGTGTGAGCCTTGCCAAAGATGAGCCTGACACAAATCTCGTGGCCTTAATGAAGGAAGAAGGGGTGAAACTTCTAAGAGAAGCAATGGGAATTTACATCAGCACCCTCAAAACAGGTATCCCTTGAGTAGTTATGTATGCCTTGAGGAAGTAGTCCCTCCGCCAACCCCCGGCCATCAGACTGCTGAGTAAGGGGCCTGACAGACCTTTCTTTGCCAAATGAATAAAGATTTTGCGGGAGGGGGCTTATTTCATCTCCAAGTCAGTCTATAAACTCAATAAGGGAAAGATCTAGAGATGGGTTGTCTGATATATTGACTCTTGAGCTCTTGAAATGTGGCTAGTCCAAATTGAGTTGTGCCATGAGTATAAAATACAGTGGGTTTTGAAAACTTGGTACAAAAAAAAGAACGTGAACGATGAGTTAGCTTTTTTATATTGATAACCTTGAAATGATAGTTTGGATATATTGCGTTCAATCTATTATTAAAATTAATTTCACTTGTTTGTTTTAACGCTGTAATGTGGCTAATGTAAAATTCTGTGTGAGGCTGACCCTGTATTTCTGTT